TACAGCGATGCAAATTAAATACAAAGCTTTGTGCATCACAACCGTGTGTTGTTTTAGCACTACATTCGGTATTTCTTTGTCACAACATCTTTGTGGAATGTCATTTAGTGGATTTAATTGTTATTTAGACTCTAGACTAGAAACATGATACATAAATCCAATACATATGTGACACATCTCGACTCCGAGTGGTATTATGGAATATCAAGAAGCAGGGTTGTGAAGACATTCGACAAATCAATATCAATCATTTTGATTTCATGTCTAATAATTTGAAAAATTATCGATGTAAAACATCACTGGAAAACATGGATGACAGGAGGCGTTGTAATTAGAGGAATCTTTAATCAATGTGTAGATTCAAGATTATTAACAAAAATCAAATATTTCTTTATAATATTAGTAAATTTCTCTCTATATAAATCTGCATCTTGAGCATATCGTTCTGTTTTGTCACACTAACTCAGTTATCTTCAGCATTGTTTAGTCAGAATTGAATTATGTTAATGCCATGACGGGGCCGTCCTCGGAGAGCTATGATTAAAATCTTGCTTACGATAAATCTCATTTAATATTGTTTAATGTGCCTCGGGTCTTGACTTAAGTTCTACCTCTGTAGTCTATTGAGCTCAGCGCTAATTATAAGTACTAAAACTGTTACTAAGGAAATATAACTAGCTAATAAGAAAGTGCCGTTTCATCAAGACAATAAACCGACACACACATCAAATAAAACGATGTCAAAATTTCACGGCTTCGAATTGCTTCCGCATCCACCGTATACTCGAGCTTCTTTTTCCTATTCTCAGACCTCAAGAGACCTACTTTTCAGCCCACTTGTATTGGCATACATTACATCGGCGTCACGTGTGGGTAAAAATCTTTTGTTCGAAATTTTGTGCTTTTAAAATCTGTCTCCATACATTATATAAGGTAATCCTGAACAAACATATAGTTCAATTATTTATATTTATAGTTGCAGGACTCTTCCAGGTCTTGCAAATACTCATTGCTTTTAATAAGGTATGGTCCAGTAGTTTAGTTATAAAAACACACTCATAGAGGCAAACACAGCATGCTTTGTACTAACAAAATACTTAAAAAACTAAAAATATCTCATAATAACAAAGTTTACTACATAAAAATAATAACACTTATTGCAAAATTTTGAAGATTACTCTGTGAAACTGTGGTAAGCGATGTCAATTAGAGGTGAAGATTTATTAGCACTCACCTCCTAGGAATAGCAGAGTGAATTATAATTAGTGAAATTCTTAAATCTTAATTATCCTACAATAAAGGACGAAGAGCAATTATTAGGATATAACACATAGTCTTGGTAGCTACATTGTAAGGACTGAATGAATGAGAATCTGACCTGAAAATACCATTTATTACTGGAGAGGAAATGACTTCTACGTGCAAAGTGCACACATCGACTTTACACTGAGTCACATTGAATTTACACAGTGCAAAATTCCTGAATAAAATTGCTTTTAAAAATCTCTTTATTTAACCATTTTCTTTTCATTCTGAAGTTGAATTTTTTGTGCTATTGTATTATTTATAATAATACACATTTACCGCAATTTAAGATATTGAAGTTGAATTGAAAGCTGCATTTCCTTATATAGTGAGCTTTCTTACTAGTGTAAATAAATTAATTACCCGCAAATTAACATCTAGTGCCTTTGCAAAAAATAAGCGTTTAATACGTATTGTTTGTCAATTAACAAAACTCAATAAAACCGATTCGGCTGTCTAAGAGCACGTAGTAGGTTCACGAAGTCCTTAATAATTGGAAACATTTTTAAACACAAGAAGTGAATTTTTTGCAGTTTTTATCTTTAACTTCTAGACATATTTTACGATGTACTTTATTTAATAAAAAAACATTTTGTGCACGATATCAGGACTTCGATACGTCGCGTCGAGATTATTTTCACGTTCAAAAAGATTTAATTAAATTTGAATAATGAACAATAATAATAATAATAATGATCATTCTTCTAAAGATATAATTGGTATCCGTGGTTAATACTTATTTAGGTAAGAAATATGAATAAAATAACTATTAAAATTCACGAAGCACTTTACGCTATCCACGCGTTTGATCCTGCTAATGGAATTCCTATGTCGCCCATCGTAGTTCGCTGCAATATTCTTTACATCGACAACGTACTGTGCGAAATACAGTAAAAACGTAATTAATTGTATTTTAAGAAAATCAGTTTTTAATAATGTTGGAATACTATTAAGCAACGAACTAAACAAAATTATAACTATGTACACACTACAAACATAAGTAAAAATATTTTAATGTTTTAGAGATAAAAAAATCAATTTATTTATTATCTATAACGTTTTACGGGTTTTTAATTTATTCAGTGATAATTATCTAATTTCGCTTGGGTATTTGTAAAAACGAATACAATTTCCACATAAGGCTTGGTTTATGTTCTGGAGCCTGGTCGGTCGTACGCTTAGATTTGTTGTTTTGAGTATTATATTGGTGAAAGCCACCATTTGTTTTAAAATCGTTAAATTTTTTGTACATCCAAGGCTTCAAGATTATATTGACCAAATAGTGTCATAATATTTAATTCCTTAAACTTATTTGAGGTAACTGCATTTACAGTGTAAACTCTTAATAACGAATTTCAAGGGACCGACCATTTTTCTTCGTTATAGAGAGTGATAGTTAAAAGGAGAGAAGAGAAACAACACCAAATTGAACCAATTACAATAATTTATATAATATATACCTAAATAGGTTAGTTTTGTAATCTGTATATAAAAACAATTACACTTAACTTTAAGTATGTTGTTGATGTCTAAATATTAAAATATATCTTCGTAATAGAGAGTGGCTGTTGCGTAATAAAGACTGAATTAATGTATGGGTTTGTGTTAATCCAACCAAATTATATCTTTTTTTTACGTTATAGATAGTTTTTCGTTATAACCGACTGAGGAAATAAAGAGATTGTACTGTATTTATAAGACCATGTTTGAAAAACTTGAATAGTAACGTTTCGTAAGCATAAATAAAAATCAAGATGATAGAAATAAAAATGCATGTATAACTGATCATTTATTTTGTACACCATCAAATATTTTGTAGAACATCAAATTCTTTATGTATGAAAATAAAGATTGTTTATACATAGTTTATTTTTCCTAACTGATATCTCATGATTAGCAACATTCTATTAATAACTACTGAAAATTCTACGGAAACTACTTACATTATAATTTAAATATACGAAACAGGTTTATATTGTACCCGTCTTTTTATCTCAGGTATAACTTTTAGTAATTTAACTTGAACAAAAAAATTTGGTCACACATTAGCCGGGAATACGTTGTGGTTAAATTACAAGTAATACATAATATACAGATTAATGTTTATACGTACATATGTACACAAAATTAAACCTAACATACCTAACAGCTACAAATTAAATATATTACTTTCACACTTCGCACGTGTGACACGCAAACTTATTACCTCCCAACCCAACTCACGGCTTCTTTAAAATAAAATAAATTCACGTGAACACCTGAAAGAACATCAATCAGTCAACTGTCATCTTTCAAGTACGAGGAAAATGGCGCAATTTTGTTTTTAGCATACCTAGCTAATGTGCGATGTGTCTAACGGAACAATAATAATAAAGTTAGATTTTGTAGCTAAAAAAATATACCGGTCGAATAACCTTCGGACTTGTTTTAATTTGGTTAAAAGCACAATATTGTATTTTAACTGAATTTTTTTACTTAGTTATATTATTTTAAAGATATCTGTCTATTATTTGAAGTGTGAACGTAACGTTATATAAGTATCGCATTTTAAATTTAACTCTACATACAATGTTTATATCTTACAAACATAACTGTCAAATTTGGCAAGTCCTATGACATTTCTATTACATTTTAAACACATTTTTATAAACTTTTCAGGTCAGAATATATTTTAAGTAAATTCGGTATTCAAAGTTAATTAAACTTAAAATATTATTCAGGTAGCTGTCATGGTGCATATGCTATAGATTCTTCAACACATGTTAAACAGCTCTACAGACAATATATAAAAATCTCCAACTTACACAAATAACGAGTTTTTTTTTCTAGATTCCATATCTTGTATGCATTGATGAGTTTAGAGTAATCATATAAAAATAATAATAGGCTTAATATAAAATAATGTAACATTCCTGAGAAAAAAAACCATAGCCTATGTTCACAATATTTTTGTCTAGTAATGCTCTTCTACCTACATCAAAAAGCCTATTTGTTTCTAAAATTTGCAGCAAAGTACCAGGCTAAAGAATATCAAGTATATTTTTGATTAATACAGGTTTGTGTATAGATAGTGTCATCAACACAAACACATCTTTTGACAGTTACAAAACGTTCTATCATTAAAGCTTGTCTAATAAACCTTTGTTTTTACAAATAAGATTTTCTTTTAAACATTCTTTATCAAAAAGGTGTTTCTATTTTAATGCCAAATGAAAAAACTAATATGCCTTCTAAAACTTCACCATCAACCTGTGTCAAGGCAGCATGAAAAGGCAACATTATTAATCAACCTCTTAAAAAATCTTCATTGCTTTTTATGGGTGATTTAAGTTTTTGCCTATTCATGACTGTATCAAAAGTTTAGTTTATGAATATTAATTGTGATTATGTTTTAGCACTATCCATACATTATTACTTTTTTTAAATACATATGTAGTTATAAAAAACTAAAATGCTTAAACCATATTGAATATAGGTATTTTCTTTCAACATTTAATTCCTAATGAATGTGACAAAACATATTTTTTATGACTATGAATAAGTTTCAGACTAAATTAAGTTATTGCTTGAGAGAATAACTTGATTTTGCAAACTGGCTAACTGTCTTAAAATATATTAAGTAATTTACGTAAGTATTGTGCATTGCAACTCTATACTTTACAGAAATCAACGTATAAATTCAGAAATAGACATTTTCAAAATTGTACCCAGTTCTGTTGATTAGCAGGTGTTGATGGCTTTTGGCTTGTGGCTCTGTAACAAATATGAAATGAGTCTTATGAAGTACCGCAATCAAGCTATAGGTTTATGATACTAAAGTTTACATGTTTGTTTTTTTAAGTCAGGTAAAAACTACATTGTGAGAAAAGAAAATAATAAAATTTTAATGTATATGGTAATTAAATATTCACCAGCTGCTAATGGGTATTATTCCAATGACTTACCCAGCAGAGTTAAAGTCTCCCCATTCAGTACCAGCAGTAGCTGGCGTTGGTACATGTTGGGGAGAGGGCGGTGGTGGGAGTTTGGAGCCACCTGGAGGAGGTGGTAGTAGGCCTACAGACCCACCTCCTGTGCGCCTTGGCCTACTAGCCTCACTACCATCCTTTTTCTGAAATCAGATTTCCTCATCATTAAATTATTTTTAACCTTGATATTCTAGTTATTTATTCAACAGGTGTCCACGATGATGATTCCTAGGTAAGTAAAAAACTAAATGTACATTCTAGCAGTGACAGAAGTTAAATTACCCATTTCTCAAGAAAAATAAAAATAATGAAATGGTCTATAGTTTTTTTGTGTCATCACAATAGAAACAGCAACAAACTTAAAATAATAGATACATAAATTTAATCACTGTAAGTTTACATTTAAAGATAAATTAAAATACTATTACCGTTATCTTCATATTTATCTTGATAGTTTCACCTTCTTTGAAACTCAAGTCTAGTTGTTGTTGAGATCCTTCATCAGTCTCTTGACCTTTTTTAATATATTTAAAGTGATCTTGCAGTGACACATTTAAGTCAAAAGAATCTGACCTATCACCAAAACCTAGACCGATGTAGGCACTTCTTCCTATAAAGATTTTATTAAATTATCATAACTGTATTGGTAAAGAGAACCAAATTTTTCATCCAAAATTAAGATGTTACAGGTTTCATGAAATTGTTGCTTTAAAAATGAACATTAAATTTATTTAAAATGATGTGTGTAAGTACTTATAAGTTATGTTTATATGAGTTATTAAATTCAAAATATTTTTGTTGAACTACCTACACCAACTAACTCAAAGGTAAAAATAAAATGATAAGCTTATTAAATAATTAATAAAGGCTATTTTTCATGTTAATTAACAAGGAACATACCATTATCATCCTGTATCCTGACAACAAAATATCGTGAACTGTCCGTGACAGCCTCAAGTGCGACACCAGGATATTTATCAATTGGACATTTCGCAAATAATTCGCCAGATGCTTTATCTTCTAGCTTCATTACTAACTCGTCTCCTTTCGCAACTAAACGCATACGCCCCGTCCATTGTGGTTCTTGTAAATTCCAATCAGCTGCCCTGTAATATAGATTTGTCACAATTATAATATATAGAGTTGATGTTAAATGATAAAAAAAAACAGTATACCTTACCTGTATCCTCGGTTCGTTGTTTTTGGAGGTATTTTAAACACAAAAACTTCATTTTTAACAAGCAACACACTTTCGTACGTGTCCATTATATTAGTGTGATTTTAGTTAACTTTCTTTAAAACTCTAAAGACAAAACTGATTTTCAAGTGAACGTTTTGACAAAAAGACTGATATGATTTTAAAAAAGAAATTTTTTAGATAAATAAATTGATATTTTCTAATGATTCATTCGAATTCATTCAATTTAACTCTTATTCATACACAATTCACAAATCATCAAAATACAAATGACAAATCAGTAACAAAAAAATGTTTAATGAAAAATTTGCATTACAGATTATATATGTGATGTGGCTGCTACAGTAACGTTATCTTTACAGCTGAGTGCTGACTATTGTAACCAAAGACTAAAGAAAATATAGAGCTTGGCAAGTGGATGAGGAGGTTGTGCTAGATAAATATCATTAGTATAAGACGTAATATTGTAAATACTCTATAAAACGAATAAAAGGCTTTAATATTTTTACACATATCGACTCTATATCTTTAATTCAAAACTACAACTATGAAAACTTAAAACATTAAGCATAAACGTGATAAATAATTATTATATTAAAAAATAATACCTAAGTATATAAATAGTTATTACCGCTCGACATTTTATTTTTATCGATAAAAATATCGAAAGAGCCTGAAAAAGTAGTATCTACGTAAACATGACAAACATAATTTTAACTCTTTTTTACGTCTTAGAATGGCGTTAGAAAATAAAAATATCATAAATCCCCTTATTTGCTGTTTTAACGCCAGTTTTTGAACTTTAGTTTTTCGTTTCTTCCACTTTTAAATGGCTTCCCATAAAGGACACGATTTTAATCAATGCACGCAATAGACAAAAAAACTACGGCTACATTTTATCTTGGGCAAAGGTTAATAGATAAATTAAGTCTAACTAATTTATTTATGCCCGGTACACATTATTCCAGTAGCATTCCAGTCCAGCGCTGGAATGTTACTGGAATTATGTGAACCTGCACTGGAATGTACCATTCCAGTGATCAATCCAGTCCAGTGACTGTCGTGACTGGAATGACGGCCTATTTTTCATTCCCATTCCAGCGCCACTGGAATAGTGTGAACGGCCAATCCAGTGCTTGAATACACGTTTAACAGTGAACACACATTGTTGTTATTTTATGGAATTTTATAGGTAATTCCGAACAATGAAGTTAACTGAAAACCAAACTCTTCAATTTGTTTCTTTGTACAGAGAACATGTGTGTTTGAGGGATATCACTTCGGAATTTTATAAACACAAAGGCATGCGCCAATCCGCCCTGCACAACATTTGTGATAGTATGCAAATAGAAGGTTTTACAGTAGAGGATGTAAAAAATACGTCGGGTGCTAGTGGCGATATGTATGAGCCGAAGATAAAATGGTTCACAGAGTTCAATTCATTTATGAGAAATGCAATGGTGAAAAGAAAAGTACTGGTATGTATTTTAAGAATTGTTATTTATTTAGAATGAATGATAAATTGAAATAAATTTTCGTTTATAGTCAGTGAGTATAAAATTTACAGTTACCTACATTTTAATGAATCATATTATTTTGCCATGGTACTTTTCCTTCATTCACAAAAAAAATAGTATACTGCGTTCTTTTCTCTCTTGCACTTGACGATGAATGGTTACTGCCTTGATGTGTGATACTGTTTAAAGCGCGTACCTCCGTTCTCCATGTACCTTCAATCAAACTGTGGGTATTGATATCATCGCGGTCAACAGAACAAGTAGTTAGATAAGCGCTTGACTTTTTTCGTAACAGTTATGTAAAGAACAAGCTGCAAAGACAATGTGATCCACAGTATATATCTTTGTCGAAATAGCCGTTTTGAAAACTCGAAATCGGCTTGCTAATATTCCAAAAGCATTTTTGACAATGCGTCTAGCACGTGATAATCTGTAATTGAATATTTTTTCTTCAAAACTTAAATTGGACCCAGGATATGGTTTCATAATGTATGTTTTTAATGCAAAGGCAGCATCAGCTACAATCACCCCTCGTTCTGGGATAAAGCCGCCATTTTCTAATTCATTACCTATAGATAGAACAGTTTTTTAAAATACCACCATCAGATGCACTTCCATTTGCTCCTACGTTGATATAGGTAAAACAATAATCGTGGTCTACAAGTGCCATTAAAACAATACTATTGTCTTTTTTATAATTAAAATTCACACTTCCATACTCCTTGGAGCCCGTAATGTTAATATGCTTTCCATCAAGCGCTCCGTAGCAAAGGGGAAAGTTCCACTTATTCCGAAATCCTTTTTCGATTTGTTCCCATTCGTGTGGCGTACTTGGTACCTGTAATAAAACAATTATGAAATTTTCAGGACAACACAGAATCTCAATCTAGAGAGCAGGCTGATGACGATCCCTCTGCTTCTGCACTCCAACCTCTTACACCAGAACCGGGACCACCAAAGAAGAAGTCTAGATTAACAGAGTTATCTTCAATTGTCAAAAACATGAAGGAGATAAAAAATGACTTCTCTAAATCAGAAAGAGAAGAAGATGAATTTGATGCCTTTGGAAAATACATTGCAACACAATTTCGAAAACTTTCCACAGAACAGGCTATCCTGGGCCAAGAAGAAATACATAAAGTTGTGACAAAATGTAGACTGACCGATTTGAGATATAGAAATACGAATTATTCTCACACACGACTAGCGCCTGGTCCATGTTCTAATAGATTTTCAATGAGTCCAGCATCTACTACAGACACTAAAGCCACTGATGATTCACTTAATTTATTGTGTGACGATCCCGAATACGCCAATATTATTATGAATGCTTTCGAAAATGCTTAAAAGTGAAATAGTGATAAGTATGAGAAAATTATAATAAAGAAAATTTGTTACCTTGATGTGATCTTTTAATGCCCTTTTTATTTCTTGACAAACTTCGGATATGATTTGCGATATAGATGATTTTGGCAACCGAAACAGATGACTGAGGCTTCTGTAACTATTTCCAGTCGATACAAAGGAAAGAGTGTCTTCTAGTTTTATTTTTGCTGGTATGGCATCTCTGAATAATGTATCGCTACGTTAAAAATTATTTGAAATTAATGATAACAACTCATCAAAATTTTCTGATGTCATTCTCATTGCCAATCTGTATTCCAAGGGATCTTCTGATTTTAGCTGTTGCAAAAGCATTGCTGAGCCTCCTTTTTCATTTCTTTCGCTTATACAATTTCTCATCCAAATCCGCTTTTTTCTTTTTAGTTCTTCTTCCACTTCATCAACTACTTCTTCTAACAATAATAATTGAACAGTTTTAAAACAATTTCTAAACTTCTTTCTTGAAAGCATTGTCACTGTAGTGTTACCGATCTAACAGCTTTTGAATGACTAGAATAATGTGGACGTTCCATTCCAGTCCAGCACTGGACTGGAATACTCACTGGATTACTGGCCTGGAATAATGTGAACCGGGCATTATAGACGCAAATCCGACCCGACGAATGCTATTTGTAGCGATTTAAACATAAATTATTAAGAGATCCATAGATTATAGAAACTAGCCATAAATCGGCTGTCGCTGACTGCTGTAAATGTCATTTGTTGTTATCAAATGCCAACTTTCAAGTTAATAAAAAATTTTAATTGCCTAATTTCAATTTTGTAAAAGTGTTTTGAACTCAAAAGCCTTTCACATTAGGGATAAATTAAAATCATCATCATTTGAACTCAAAATATATGTCATATGAATTATGAAAGTATGTTTATTTTTTTATATACTTAATATGACATGTACATGTTATACGTTAAATATTTATTAAAGTAAGGTTTTTAATAGTTTTAACAAACATCTTATTTGTACTAAAACTGTTGTAAATTCTAATACCTTTCCTGTTGCTACATGTAGTGTTTTTAAAGTATTATTTTATTATATATCAAACAAATACTGTTCTTATTGCAGGTAAATTCAATTACATCAACAGACTCGACAGTTGAGACACAAACATTTGAGACATTCCTTGCATAGAAAATATTAAAGGTAAACAAACTTAAAATGCAATTCAAAAATTGAATTTGTATTTATTACGGTTTTTGGGGATGTACCATATAATATGTATGATAAGCAAGATTTTAATATTTTCTCAGACTGTTAACTTAAACCATTTAGATGAAATTCTAAGCCTTGTAAACCTATTATGACTATAAAAAACATATCAATTTAATATATGTTTCATATCAGCTCAAAATTTGAGCTAAAGTCATAGCTTATGCATTTCTAGCGTTAAGAGCTAAGAGGAGTTTGAGCCCCTGTATGAATTTTCTTTGGTGTCCAGCCTAGACTTTAGTTAAACTAAAAATCTTTTTGGTAAACTGAAAACTGTTATTTTCTCACCTGGTCCACATATAAAGTAAGTAAAATTAAATTTTATTTTAGGCACACAAGATCCACAACAGCTGTCATGGCTTATGTAAGTTATTTTGCTACTTTATTAATGTGCTTTAAGCACACATCCACACGGAATAAACTCTTGCCTTATGCCAAAGTACTAACAGATTCAAATCTATGACATCAAATTTAATTATATTGTTGTTTTTGTCTGATAGTTAGATTCAGAGGTGTGACTCAAGGTACTGAGTCAAGTCTGAATAAATACGACCAATGTGACAAATAATTGTTGATATAACTAGTGGTACTTAATGAAACAGTAAGCAACAGTGACAGAAAGTAGTCGAAAGACATTTGTCGTATTGATCAATTTTTAAGACAAATTCATTGCTGCACAGCAGGGGAGAGCAATGAGCATATTATAACTTAGGGTTGAGCATCTAGCAAGGCTTTGGCTAACACAATATATTCTTATTATTTTACAAATTAGATGTATTAATTGCGGATGAAATATTTCCTGTTTTTTGTGATGTGAACAATAATTATATTAAGCATATAAATAATTATTAAATAATAAAAAAATATATATTCAAAAAACTAATAAAAATAATTTATATTTTATGCCTTCTAGCTGCAATTTGAAGACGGCAATACAGAATATTTATTCGTCGTCACTACTGTCTTTAATCTATTCAGTAGTCTACACTCTATTCCCTGCCGCCTGCTTATAGAAAATGGCGGCCGAGTTATTAGGTGTAAATATTTTGTTGTGTTGTTATTATGCGTCTGTTAAAGCATTGGTGACAAAATGTAATGCAATAATTTGGTGTTTGTGAGTGAACAATCAAGAAAACTTAATTTGTGAAAACGTTTTCGTCAAAATTATGTAATAACAGCAACAAAACATTGTTTGCATTCAATGAATCGAGCTTCGCTGCGTAAAAATGGGAGACTCCCATTTATTGCGGGTTGTGACGTCAATATTAATATTACTACGATGCTCTGCATTTTCTGAAAACTATGAATGCCCGCAAAAGTGCGATTGCTTGGTACAGTATGTTGACTGTTCCGATAAAAAGTTGGTTACGGTGCCAAGAATTCCTAAGTGGGTGGAACAACTCGACCTAAGCCATAACAAATTGAACGAAGGCGTAACGCAAGGTTTCGATAAGTTAATCTCCCTAAGAATTTTAAAACTTGATAAAAATGCGATTCAAAATATTCCAAGTTTCCTTGAACAAAATCAAGTGCAAGAAGTTAGCCTAAACAAAAATAGTATTACAGAAATCGATATCGGCCGATTTCCTACAAATTGTTCAATTAAAGTCTTAAGTTTAAATAGCAATCGCATTAGACTTATCAAAGATGGAGCTTTGAACAATTTGACAAATCTCAACACTTTAAAATTGAATAAAAATGCAATTTCTTCTTTACCTCATCATTTATTTATGTACCAATCCAATTTAAAAACACTTGAACTAAATCATAACAAATTGCATGTTATAAATGGTCTACTATTTCAAGGATTATCAAACTTAACAACTTTGAAAATAAGATTCAATAGTGTAGAAAACATCATGGATGGTGCTTTTTTGGGATTTAAGTCTGTGAACTTGCTGCAACTAGATCACAATAAGATAAAGAGTGTATCAAAAGGTTGGATGTATGGACTAGAATCTTTAACAACCCTATCCTTGGCAAATAATTTAATATTGCACATTGATATTGGTTCTTGGGAATTGTGTAGTAATCTACAGTTTTTGGATTTATCCCATAACTATTTGATTCAGATTGAAGGAAGAAGTTTCCAGCATTTAATTAATCTTCACACATTGAATTTAAGTAGTAACAATATATCAGTTATTTCACAAGAAGCATTTAGTCATATAATACAATTAAAATCTTTGTTTTTAAATAATAACAAAATATCATGGACTGTTGAGGATATGTCTGGAGCATTTTCAAAGCTACAAAATTTAGAAACTTTTAGTTTATCAGCAAATCATATTAAATCAATAAGCTCAAGAGCATTTGAAGGCCTAACAAATTTAAATGAACTGGATTTAAGAGGAAATAATATTACCTCTATACAACAACATGCATTTGATTCTTTGACCAATATAAGGAAGCTCCATCTAAACACAACATCATTGCTATGTGATTGTAAAATATTATGGATGGTAAAATGGATAAAGGATAAGCTGGAACATAAATTTGTCACAGCTACATGTGCTTATCCAGCTGAAGTGAGAGGAACATTATTATCTAGACTAAAAGAAGAAAACTGTGGTGATTCACCTAAACCTAAAATAGTTAATCATCCTAAATCTCATCTGGCCATTAGAAACCGATCAGCAAATTTACTGTGTTCAGCCACATCAAATCCTTTTAGTAACATGACATTCTTATGGAGAAAAAATAATGACAATATAAGTAATCCTGTGGTATATGAAAATGTAACATTAACAAACAAAGGGCAACAAGCAACATCTGTTCTTGTAATACCTGATGTGTCACACACTGATTCTGGAAAATATCAATGTGTAGTGAGCAACAAATTTGGTACAACATATTCTACAAAGGCTAAGATGAATATTGTTACATTCCCTAGATTTCTTAAAACACCCACTAATGTAACTGTTAGAACTGGGGAGACTGTAACACTTAACTGTGCTGCTACTGGTGACCCACCTCCTGAGATCTCTTGGAAAAAAGATGGGGGGAATGATTTCCCTGCAGCAAGAGAAAGGAGAATGAATGTAATGCCAACTGACCATCTATTCTTTATTGTTAATGCAAAACCAACAGACATGGGAATTTATAGCTGTGCTGCGAAAAACCCTGCTGGTACAATCATAGCTAATGCAACACTCAGTGTTTTGCAAGAACCTTCATTCATAAGAGTTATGGGAAACAAAGAAGTTACAAGTGGGGAACCAGTGGTTTTGGAGTGTATGGTACAAGGCTCACCACCACCAGTTTTAAAATGGCTTAAAGACGGATCTCCAATTCTTCCTTCCGAAAGACATTTTCTGGCAGGCAATAATCAGCTACTAATTATTATTGGTGCACAATCAGGTGATGCAGGTCACTATGAATGTGAGATAACAAATAATTTAGGCACTAAAAAGGAAATTATAGAGTTAAAAGTATTACCACCAGTAGCAATAATGGTGAAAGAGGAAAATATGACAGGTATAATTATAATTACTGTAGTGTGCTGTGCAGTTGGTACATCTATAATTTGGGTGGTAATTATTTACCATACTCGTAGACGTATGGCTGGGGCCATGCGCAGTTACCCCACCGAAAGTGTGAAAATGACACAAGTAGTGCATAGTGATAGTGATTCCCCTCATATGTTTCCTGATAACACATCTGAACACTCATCGTGCAAGGATAGTGGAACAGGTGACTCTGCAAAACAAACAAGTTTTGATGGAGTGCCCACAGACAGAAGTGAGCCAGTTCATTTTGAGACTGCTGTATGTCACAGCTATTCCCCAGTGCCTGAAGCCCATAAGCTTCTGCCATCTTCTTTCAAACCGTCTATACAAGTTTGTGTGAATACATGTGTTACACCAGCTACTTATAGTTTTTCTAGTCACAATAGTAATGTCTAAGCCTAAAAGTGTCTGTATTAAATTCATAATGAATATTGTTGAAAGCATTGCATTTTCACTAACTGGATGTCAATTTTATTTAATTTAAACCAAGTTGTTATTTTATCTGAATCCTATATTGTTATTTATTAGGGACTAATGTTATGCTAATATAATATTTACAATGGTGAAACTTATTCAGTGCCTCAGTATTTAATGTTAGTGAAAAGCTTTGTCCATTAGTGGTTTATAATATTAGTACAAAATGTAAAAAACTTGCCAGTATTGGTTTGATGTAAAGACTGAATGTCATTTGTGTTTGTATGAGCTTTGTTATTTTCTTATTTTTTCTAAGGTTTATGTGAGTAATGGTTTAACATAGTATGTAAGTAAAAGTAGTAAAATATTAGTTTGTCATTTGTTGGGTAGTCATGTGATTTTGTAGTAGCTTTGTAATGATAATATACTAATTGTGTTACTGCTATGAGATTCCTAAGATTAGAAAGAATTGGTATTGCTGCTAACATTTAATATCCTAACTGCATTAAAAGACTTAAAAATATTAATCTATAACAATACTTAATAGACTTCATTAGTAATCTAATTGTGTCATTAAACTCTAGATATAATAATTGTAAGACAAAAACGTATATTTCATTAAGAAAAATTGGTAATAATCAGCATAAAACTTATATAATTTCCAACACTACTTTCCAAAAAAATATTTAAACTACCTTATCAGTGTCGACTTATTACATTTTTAAAATTCAGTAATTTTAGTAACAATTGAATATTGAAAATCTGAAATTGTAGTACAGTATATATTTACATGTAAGTATTACAAATTGTAATTCAATACTATAACTAGTGATATAAAACAAAATAACAGAAGACTGTTTTAAGAATTATAATTAGCATGTAGATTTCATATAAAGGCAGCTATTTTACCATAACAGTGGATTGTTTTAATATCACAATAGTATTTATAAGCATATTTTTTTCTGGCAAAATACCCAAACTATTGTGTTATTGATTGTATAGTGTACTTTATTTTATTTATTTATTTCTCTTTATAAAGTATAGGTGTCTAAACTATTCATATCTGTTTACACAACCCACATGCTGTATTCTTATTTATCAAATAAGAAACATTTTAATCTATTTAGGAAGCTATTCAAAAGTGTTGCTATCAGTCTGCAAGAGTATAGAATTCAAAAAAATTTAACAAAATAATAATAATCAGTGCTTACCTGCCTTTTTCTTTATTTTTGTTGAGTTTAGTGAGAATATTTTTTGTTACTCCAGACAATATGATACAATAGAATTTATTACTATTTTAATAAAATACTTCACCAGTCTTCATGGTATGGTTACTGGAAAATATGTAAATAACATTTAATATAAGAATAATTAAGTAGCTATTTATACTTACCTACCCACTTTATAGAATAATAAACTTATTATAAGTAATAATGTTTTTCTTTCCAACTCCAATAAGAAAAAAATATTAGTACTTTGTACATGTACAATAATAATTATAGTCAATGTCTATATAGTTATATTATGTGTAATTTTATGGTTGATTTATAGCCCGGTAGTGGACAGCAATTGGAGATGGGTCATGGCCCATACCCCTCAATGGGACCCGGTGGCACCGTGTCTCCTCAAGTACAACAATGGTTTCGGGCTGTTGATAAAGACCAATCCGGTTTCATTACAGCTATTGAATTAAAGGCTGCTTTAGTGAATGGCCAAGGGCAGAATTTCTCTGATACAGCATGTAATTTAATGATAGGTGAGCACTAATTAAGCATCCAGTTCACTTTAGTTACTATATTTAGAAATTCCTTAATAGTATTGTAACGAGTTCAATGAATTATTATCAATTCCACGAGAACTTTTCAAAAAAGAACAACCAGCGTCACGGTATATAAAAATTGTACATAGAATATAGCTTAGAAAATATCCATACTTTTGTCTGAACAGAGCTATTAGACCCGCGAGTATACGTAGTCGGTCCCAAAGTTCTGTCATAAATGGCAATAATGATAAAAACAAAAGTACTGATCAATTTTAATGAGTGATATATCAATTTATAGTACATTAATTAAGGAATAAAAACAGCAAAATTATTCATATTACCTCCCTTATTTCTAATACAGGCTCTTAAGACCCGCAGCCAGTCGTCTATCGCAGCACGCACCATATTCATGTCGATTTCAGTGTCTGCTTTCTTTAAAGATGACTTCAGACTCTCTTTATCACAGACCTTCTTCTCTAAGACGTGCCAAATTTTATAGTCCAAAGGATTAAGGTCCATACTGGAGGAAGGCCAATCCTCATGTCTAATTAAGTCGATGTTTTGACGCTCAAACCAGGCTTGAGTGGCTTTGCGTGCAGGCGCAGAGTCCTGCTGGAACACGAAGTGCGTGCTGGGCAGGTCTTTGACAAGCCGATCCAAAACAGTCAAGTATACTTTTGCACAGGTTTTGACCCCCTTTTCGCAAAAATGAACCTCAACCTCAAGTACCCACTCTTTTTTTTTGTATGCTCGTAGACCAAGATCTTCATTTAAAACCTTTTTTAATGTTTTCCTACTGACCACCATCTGCAAAGCCATCAACTTCTGTTTTCGGACAGGATTTCTTCCTATCCGCGCCTTACTTACTTACATCCTCAACACTGGACCAATCAATAATACGGTACACAAATCTAAGCGTTATATCCAAATTTTTGAGCAACTTGAAAATGGTACTCGGCGAGTGCCCACAGCGGTGCAACGCAATAACAGCTATTCGGTTTTCTTTCAATGTCCACTCCATCGTGAAAAATTACGGAAGGTGATTGTTTTTTGTTTTAAAACAATAGTCAAACATTCAAAAATAGAATGCAATATTTTTTTTCTAAAATCATGTTCGAAATTTAAAAATAATGTGCCAGTGACTGAACTTTGGGACCAACTACGTATAATAAATCTCGGTCGGAAATGGATGGATCGAATGAATTACAACAATTATTTTTCTAGGCATGTTTGATAAAGATCGATCCGGGCATATCAATTTAGAAGAGTTTGACAAACTCTACACCTATATTAATCAGTGGTTAGCAGTCTTCAAAACGTACGATACTGATCAATCGGGACATATTGATCAACCGGAATTGTCTCAAGGTTCGTATTTATTATTAAGCATACCCTAATAAAACTCGTTATTACTTTTTGTAATAATTAATTTTGAATTTATAATAATCTGGTTATATAGATGAAATGTTTTACAGCCGCGTCTGTATACAGGTCAACTGAAAAACTACGACCACATTTTTGTACGGATTTTCCGTCATGGATAGTGTTATATGATAGGTATAATTAATATAATATCGATTTATTATATTATGTATTTTTACTGAAATGGAGGATATTTCAGTATCGGGAATATGCACAATTTCATTACGAAGTGTGAACACTTTTTATGCGTATTTGTAGATATGGTAACTCATTTATTTATACATTATTGTTTGAACTCACAAATTATGTAATATAGTTAAGTCCTGGGACGTAGTTTCATTATCTTGATTGATTGATTAGTAAAACTATACCAATAAGAATAATAAAATATTTTAGTATTTTTTAAATTGTAATGTAGTAGATAATTGATAACTTTACTATTTGCATATAATTATATATATAACTCTACTGTCCGTGTGTATGTCACTGAACACCTTTTAAACGGCTGAACCGATTTGAATGTCTGTTTTTGTATGCGTTTGGGTGGCGCCCTGGATGGTTTAGAGTTCAGAAAAATCACCCCGGCAGATGGAGCTGCAGTCGATCTCTAAGTTATTTAACTATACAGCAAATAAACAGCTGGTATATATATAAATCCTCTGTGCATGTGTTCGTTACTTAACTCCTAAACGGCTGGACAGATTTGATGCAATTTTTTGTGTTCAAATGGAGTCGAGAATGATTTACATTATTAGATGTTTTTTGATATGTAAGACGTGTGTACAGGATGTCTGTCGGTCACGATAGTATATAATTTAAATAATGATTTATAAAAACGCGTTTTTATTCATATAATTGCATTTCCGTATAGGTTAAAGTACACATGTAAAGCTCTAAAATTATTTTTTACCGTCAGAATATAGAATAGAATCACTAGCTTCCCAGCCAGCTTGTGTAACCAGTTCGTCCTTTATATGACTTTCACCTTAATGATGGACAGCAGAAATCCTTTTGGATAATTCCTTGTTTTTTTTTCAGCACTAGGACAAATGGGATTTCGATTCTCCCCAGAATTTATATCATTTCTGACAAAAAGAAACGATCCGAGAGAGGGGAAAATATCAGTTGATAATTTCATTGTATTGTGTGTGCAATTACAACGCTTTACTGAAGCTTTCAGAGCAAGAGACACACAGCAAAATGGCACTGTCACTCTTGGGTTTGAAGAGTTCTTAAATATAGCTCTTAGTTGCTCTGTATAAATAATTAAAAAAAAAACAAGCTTAAGTAATCTCATTGAAGTCTTAAAAATATTTTTTTATATGCTTATACCACCAATTTTATTGTTACAAAAAAAAACTTTCACATTGACCACATTTATAATTAAGTTTCTATATTTTGACGGGTAATGCATTATGTTATACGACTATGAATAAATAAAAGATCATAAATAGTTGATATTTTTATTTCATTCCTTGTTAGAAGTCAATCGAGACACCTGTAACAAAAACATACTGTAAGAATATGTATTTATATCTGTTATATAAATTGTAACCAAATTTTTTAAAATATAATTTTATGAAATGGGTTGTACAGCATAAGTTTCTGTATTTCATTGATTAATTTTTCAGAAAAATAAAATAATTTTTTGGCCGGTTTGAACTTAGAATCCAGAGGTATATACTATGCAAATATACTATGCGTTATATAAAAAAAAAATCGTTAATAATAAGAATCTTAAGGCTTATATTCTCTTATTTATAAACTAATTTGTTTCTAAACAATTGTAATGATATTTTTTTCAACAATGGAAGCCTAATGGTTAAGCAAGTGTGTCGTCAGTCGAACCCCGGCTATGCACGGTTGGATAGAAAAATCATCTCAGAAACAGACGCAGATAAAAATATGTAATACATACTCTGTTGGGTTATTACAAGATTTAATAGACATAGATTTAGTTCTCTTTTTTGGACACAAAAATACAAAAAATTGGTTATTCTAAATTCTTATCAGATTTTAAAAATCATCTTGGATTATTTATAAGTGTCATAGAACCTATACAAATTGGTTTTAATTACTTTAAGTTTTGGGTTTAAAATTCAAATTAATATTCTTAATTTCAAGAACGCGCCGAAATATGGCGTCGTTATAATACTTATATTTTTTTTTTAATTAATGATTACTTACAAGTAATAATAAGTTATTTAACTTAATTTACTCCATAAAGCTTATTAAACCCATGTTTTATATAGATTACAACCTTAGTAATCTCACTTATAAACTATGTTTTAAGCTTATTAACTTAGGGAGCGTTCAAGTATTACGTAACGCAATTTTTGGGGATTATTGACCCCCCCCCCATGTAACGCGCCGTAACGTTTTTCTGTAACCAAGTATAGTAAAACGTTTCGTGACCACCTAGTGACACTTTATACCTAAAAGTCTCCATTATGTGGCGTAAAGTACTTGAAAGTCGAAAATAATATTAACAATAACGCGTAATTCAATCCCCGTCCCGCATCGTCACGTTTTACAAAAGGACCCCCCCTCCCAAAATTCGTTACGTAATACTTGAACGCTCCCTTAGTTGCCAAATAATAAATATTACAATTATAAAAAAATATGTTAACTTACTTGCTTCGGTTTTTCTTCTCATCGCTTCTGTTTTTTCTAACATAAAGACAACTTCTTGGAAATTCTTAACAGCCGTTCTCATATTGGCTTGATGTTGTGCATTTTCTTTTGAACTGTCATCGAGTAATGTATGGATAGTCGGAATGTCATTTAGTTTCATATTTTTAGCATTTTCAGGCTTAAACACAATTGATACCTGGAATTATGAATAACTCAGTATTGTTAAGAGCTAAACAACTAAATCAGACATTAATGTGTCTAATTTGTTATAGGTTAGAGAACATGACATTTTTCGGAATATCGAATACATAGTGACAATAAATGTTTGTAGGGAAAACCTGCGCAGCGCTCCGCGGGCGTATTTGGAACTAAAAAGTAACGTACACCTACAGGCCTTCCTACCGTAACAGTGTTTTTGAAGTGAAACTTCTTTATCGAGGTTGGAAAAAAAATTTAGTGTAACATTTTTTCGTTACGCGTCACATTTTTCGGTTACGCGCCATGTTGCTTTTTGAAGTCAAACTTCTTTATCGGCGTTGGAATGAAACTTCTTTATCGACGTATGGGAGAAATTTTGTAGCAAATCGTCACGTTTTTCAATGATAGTAATAATTCTATTACAATTAATGAAATTCTATAATAATCTTCGTAGTAATAAGGTAAAATGAAATATTTGTATTCATGTCTATGATAATAAAAGCCTTTTGTTAAACTTTATCTAATTTAACGAATTTCTGTAAAGTTGCATTTGCATATAGTAGATCATTTTTCGAAAAATAAGATCATAAAGAAGTTTCACTTCTTACGTGTGTACACCTAGTACACGCACAATTTATTTTAACTTAAAATGTATTATTTTAGTTGTTGTATTGTATAACTAAGCAAATTTGGTCACACATTTTGTTACCAAGTTTTAAGTCAGGCCGTCGGTTCGATAATTTCACTTAATATGTATGAGTAAAACATCATCGTATACATATTTGATATATTAATGTCAATACAATTTCAGTTTTTGACAGACTGAACATATACATTTTCCATACATTTAATGTACCACACAAATACGATACGATGTTTGTGCGTAAGTTTAGTTCCAAATATGCCCATAGAGCACTGTACATATAAATTTAATCTTACTTATTTATTTATTAATGGATAATATACATAATATAGTACTTGCTGGTTAAGGCTATATGATAAGCTTAATTAAAATACATTTACCTTTCCTGTTTTAGGATGAATACTGAAGGGTGACTTAAGTAAATGATTAAATCCTTTTGTGACATGTGCATCAAGTCTCGGGTAGCAGTATTGAATCTTCAATTCTTCTACCAAGTACTTTATTTTCCTCATGGCATTTGCATTCTGAAAAAATATTTCTATTTTTAGAGTTCAGAATACCTGGAATACTACTGAATAAGTAATGTTATTTAGTTTTGAATAATTCTCAAATACAATGTTTAATTACAAGTATTTAGATGACATTAGCTGAGACCTTCTATATTATTTATTTTTTCTATTATTAATAAGGGTTTTTCTAGAACTCGAGCCGTAAGTAACATAGTAAAGTTTTACTTACTTGTTTACAGTATTGGTTATAAATAGTAACAAACGTCTCCCATCGTTCTAATGATGATGATGGCATATTTTCTAAGGTCTCCTGTGTTTGTGTCCGTAATGCCTCATCTGGTACTATTTTTAAAAAGCTATTTAGTCTGTCTGTGGTAGAAAGGAACTCTTGCTCTTCTAATATAGTGTTAAAATATTTGTCAATTATACCAATGGCTCTCCTGAAATTGAAAATTAAATATGATCACCTTCATAACCAAATCTATAGCTTGACTTTAAAAAAAAATTTTTTAGATACCCCATTAATTAAGATTTATAGATGAATTTATATGCAATTAAGTTTAACCTTTTACCCAGAACAGATATACAGTGTATACTTAAGTGTAATTGTTTTTATAATCAGCTTACAAAACTAACCTAGTGAGGTGCCGAAATTTCTAAGAAAGACACCGGAGTCTCGCCTTTGTTATTGTTAATTTCTTTGACACGTGTGCCATTATTCTTAGATTACATTGCCTGTAGGAAATTTTTATTCTAAAGTTTCTTACTAAACGCACCATCGTCACCGTGTATTACGTCAGGCAAAGTTAACAGAATATATGTGTTTAGAATAATTTACCTATTGATAGTAATAAAATTAGAATTATTGTAATTGGTTAAATTTGGTTTCTATTTCCCTTCTCTCCCAATAACGAAAAAAATGCTTGGTCCCTTGAAATTTGATATAAAGAGTTTAGACTGTATATTCTTACTTCTTAGTATATTGCTTTTGAATTTAAAATTTTATATTGCTTTTGAAATAAATGGCCGTCAATTAAAATAGATACTTTCCTATACAAATCGAAAAATACTTGAATGTCAGATATATTAATGCATGAATTATTAGACCTCCTGAATAGTGGACTTCTTAGGAAATTTACAAATAAAAAAAATTCAGTACTTATTAAAATCCTAAACTCAAATGTTAACTGCAATGAATATAAGAATACCTTATACTAGAATGAAGATTATCATTTCCCAAATGCACTTTCCTATACTGGTTTTCTCCCCCAGAAATAAGGCACATGTAATCGGCAAGTGCAGTTCTTCCGGGACTATCAAGGACCCTTGCCTCGTGATCAGATACCCAACAATGGATACCACGTCTACCGGAGAATACCCACAGTATATTTTGAAATCCAAAATCTTCTGCAAAACACAATTGCAGAATCAGAAACCTGCTTTCATTATAAGTTTTAATACAAACCAAAATAGACAATATTTCTTTCAAATTTAATGTGAAGATATTAGTGAATGATAGTTTAGGATCAACACAGCTTTTCTTATGAATGTAACAAAGATTATTATAAAACACATATCGCATAAACTCTGTTCAAAGTTTCATCAACACATGACAGATTATTTAGTCTTTTAAAAAATAATTTGCACTCGTGATACTACCCAAACATTAAATAAAGATATAAGAATAATAAAAGCTTACATTGCTATTTTAATTACTGCTGTGATTCAAATAAACTATATTTTTATTACCTTTTAATGCAGTGTTAATTACTTCACAAGCTAGAACCATAAATTTCCAACACTTGTCACAAACCTTAGCCTCCTGGCAACATGTTCTAATTTCATCATAATCAGTAAGGTCAATATCAAATACTAGTTCTCTAGCTAACACCACAGCATCATGCCGTCCAATAGATGGTCTAAAAATATAATATGAACATGTTAAACAATTGTCTTCAAAAGAAAGTTGTTCTGTAATAATATTGTTTTCCAAGCTTTTCTACAAAACAAACAATTATTACAAAACAAGAAAAATAATTGAAAAAAATCCCATTGTAAATTATTTTGAAGTCTTATATGAATAAAGGACTAAGGAGTTGCTTATTTATATTTTTTTAAAGATTACTTTTTTATGCAATAAAAGTTACTTACTTTGTGTTATAGACTGGTCCGATATCCAGTTTATAAGGGCATTTCTTTTGAAATAATGTATGTAATTCTTTTTGATTATTTATAGATAAGTAACGAAGGTATACGTCGTCAGCTAGCGTGAATGATAATTCTCGGTTTCCAAGAGGTTGAGGATAATTTCCGCATGTCAACCATCTACAAAACAAACTCTGAGGGAAGAGTCTTGAGTAGTATATAGGAAGCATATCAGATAAAAGGCTTTCATCGTATTGTTTGGCCTGAAAAAAATCAATGAATACAGTATATTGGTTTTGAACATTAACCCTTTGAAATACATCATAGAAAAAACTATGTACTTACCATTATCGTTTTAACTGTTATTTAAAGGATATATTAAGTTTATCTAAATATCTTTAAAATACTTGAAAACGTTTGTGTTTTTATATAACTTTTTTACTGCCGAGTAATTTAATAATTCGTAATTTTATATAAAGTAAATGTAAATATATTTCAATTAGAAATATTTTGTTACACTGAAGCCTTTTAAATTATAGCTTAAGGTTTCTTTTGCAGAGTGAGTGAGTTTTGCTTAGTGACTACTGAGTACTGACTGTGAAGTGTAAACTGTAAAGTGCTTAATTTAAGATTTACGCGGGTTTTTTTTTTTTTTTTTAATTTATTTATTAGCCGGATACAAAGTCCATTGGCACTTTAAAAAAAAGTATAACAAAATATCTTACACAAATAACTATTTACTATACTAACTTAACATAAAATACAATTAATATAAAACAATGGTGAGTTTTAAATTTTCTCAACCGTGTTTTTTATATAATAGTGAATAGCTTTGAATAGAACTGGACATTTCAGTAAATCTTGACACGGGGGGAATTTTATTTGTGATGGTTGAATTGATGATACCATTTGCAGTGACTGCTGTGAGTCTAAAGTGATCTTGTGGGTTATTTGCTAAAGAATTTCCAAGTTTAGTCGATTATTCTCATCAAAATCCATCAACTTCATAATATCCGTTACTAGTATTAATCGTTGAAATTTAAAGGTTGGGCAACTTAAGATGAGGTGGGATAAGTCGGCCTCCTTTCCTCCACAGTATGTACATCTGTTATTATTTATAATTTTAAAACGAAATAAATGGCTTGGAGTCTGACAGTGGCCAAACCTCAAACGATTAATAATGGTTATAAATTTACGTTCATTGGCTCTTTGTATTTATCATACCAAGGTTTAATGGGAGTTCCTTTTGGATTTGCATACCATACCTTTATGTGTGAGGATAATTTCCAATAGTTCCCTAACTTGCGACTTCTTTGTTTTAAGTCGAAAAGAAAATCCGTAAAAGGAACTCTGCATGTAAATATGATCCTCATCATAATTAGAATTGACAATACCATCTACAATATCATTTCCCTTGATACCCCTATGAGAGGGCACCCATTTAAATGTTACTGGAGTATCCAAAGATATAATGCTTCTTAATTTTATACAATAAATAATTATTTCTATAATGAGTATGACATTTGTCTAAAGCCATTAACACACTTTTTGAATCTGAAATTATTAGGAACTCCATGTAGTTATCGTTATTTTGTAAACTGTGTAAGTACAATACAACTTGATAGATAGATAAGCTTCAGCTGTAAATATGTGCAAGTATTACTTAACATAAAACATTTTGAGGTTTTAGCCTGAGGATCATAGTAACCCGATTTCACTGCAGATGAAGATTTAGAGATAGTGTAGACTTTGTAACTGTGGCTTGGTACAGCAAAATAGAAAGTCTATATTATCTACTACACTGGACATATCTATATTTAATTTACACATAAGAGCTTTATATTTACAGAGATATACAGGCCATAGTTCAGATTTGTACATATTATCAGATAAATCAGTCATAAAGCTCATAATTCCCAATAATTAGGGATCTGGTATTGAGAACATTAGTCGCTGTTATACTTGAAGGCAAATCTGGTGTATTAGTGATAGTTATAGAATAAGAAAGTTTTGGAAGAAGAACATCATTCTGAGAAGTTATTACTTTCAGGCAAAATTTTTCAGCAATTAATACTGCGCCGAATACATAGTGGTTCTACAATGACTCAACCTCCATAGAATTGATCGGAGTGGTACGCATTGCACCAGTAACAATTCAAGAGCAATATTTTGGATAACATCAAGCTTTTTTAATAATACAGGACTAATATTCATATATGCCAGACAGCTATAATCAAAATGACTACGTACTAAGCTTTTATATAATAAACAAAGAATTTTTGGATCAGAACCCCAAAAAGTTCCTGTAAGGACCGCAAAATATTGATACCTTTCAAAGCTCTACTACAAATATAGTCAATGTGTTTGGTAAACTTTAATTTAGTGTCAAAAATTACACCAAGAAACTTTTTTTCTATTGAGGGATTAAATTATTGTTATACTTAACATTTACATTAGTATCAATACCATAAGCTAAACTGAACTTTTACTACTATTTATATTTAATTTAAGTATCTCAGTATAATAGTAGTTAAGTTGACATAAAGCTGAATTAACTTTTGCTTGAGTAACCTGTAAATTACTGCCTACACTATATATTAAGATGTCATCAGCAAATTGTAATATTTTTTACAGATTCAGTCACATATGTATATATTTGTGAAGTATAAAGGTTATACAGGATTGGAGATAAAGAAGACCCTTGCATCAACCCCTTGAATGCTAATTTTGGACCATGAAAAACATTATTGTATTTAATGTATAAAGAATCGACCATAATACATATGGAAAATCCATTTTAAAAGCTTTCCTGGGATGCCCAAGGAATATAGCACCCTAATTAATTGGTGAAGATCTACATTATCATATGCCCCCTGAACATCAAGGAAAACACAAATTGCAGTAGAACCTGATAACAAACACTTCTTCATATCAGTCAGGTAAGCTATAAAACTTTCTGCTGATTTTGCCTTTTCTGAATCCAAACTACAAGAAGGAATAAGTTTTGGTTTTCAACAAAATAGTCCAGTCTAATCTTAATCATTTGCTCAAACAATTTCCCTACACAAGATGTAAGAGAAATGGGTCTGTACGAATTAAAATGATATTGGGTTTATCAGGTTTTAACACTGGTATGACACAGCGCAACCTCCAGGATTCTGGAATCAATTGATGAGACCAAAGCGAATTTAAAATATTAAGTAGAATATGTTTTACAGAAACATGTAGATTTTGAAGCATAATATAAGGAATATCGTCAAGACCAGGGGTTGTATTCTTTCTTGAAGACAAAGCCATGTCAAGTTCTTCAAAACAAAAAGAGTTAAGTAGAAACTTGCTCCACTGACTTCCATCATTAAATTCGAATAAACCAGAAATATTATCATTGTTATTACTAGGTTGCCCTAACTTCTCTAAAAAGCTTGCTATCCACTCATATTTTTGGACACATTTCTATTAATGTTAATTCTCTTAAATCTTCTAATAAAATTCCACACTCGGGATACTGGAGTGAATCTATTAAAAAGACGAACAAAGACTTTTCCAACTGTCTTTCTTAGCCATTTTTATAATAATTTTTTTCCTCGAATCTATTTTCTTATATTCTATATAATTGTCCATTGTCATATTACGTCTATAATTAGCTAACGCTTCTCTTGATTTGGTTACAGCCTCGGCACAAGTATCATTCCACCAAGGAGCTGGAGGAGCAGACTTTTTACTAGAAGATTTATGCTTTAACAATGGAACACAGTTTTCTTTTAAACTAAATAGTAATTTAGAAAATTCATCATATTGAACTAAAGGATCAATTGTTGAAGGAGAAAATTTATCAAATATATCTTTGGATTTATCATTGTACATATTCCAGTTTGTTTTATTATATAAATACTTATGTATAGACTCTTGAACTGTATATTTTTGAGTTGAGGTAATGATGTTAACAAAAGTAGGTAAATGATAGCTCCTAAAGAGTCATCACCGACATACCACTCACAAAGTGGTGCAATATCAGGGCTAACACAAGTAACATCAATGGCTGATGCATTATTACCAGGTCTAGAAAAGTAGTAGGGTACAGAATTTAAAAATACATAAATCAGCATCATCAAATATATCAAATAATTCACGACCTCTTGAATTGGTAGTATCACAACCAAAAGCTATATTGTGAGCATTAAAATCACCAGATACAAGACAAGGTTTGGGTAATTGCAAAATAATCTTTCTCAAATTAATCAAACTAATTGAGCTATTATTTGGTGGACAGTAGACACAGAGCACTGAGACAGGACCACATCCTGTTATTATAGAAATAGCTATAAATTGAATATTTTGATAGAAAGTAGTTTTTAAGACCTTAAATTTAATATCATTTTTTATTAATATACCTACACCTTCATGCTCATTTTTAGCATTTTTTCCAACAAATATATAACCAGGTATATAAAAAGGCAGACCAGAATCTTTTAACCAAGTTTCATTCAGCAAGCACACATCTATTTTATTATCATATAATAAAGATTTAAGAAGTGGTTTTTTATTATTGATACTTGTATGTTATGTTGCAAATCGTAAATAATCCATTATTTTGTTAAGTTTTGTATAATATATCCTTAATGTGGAGTTTTACTGTATTAGAAGCTAACAAACTAAAGTTTTGATAATTTTACTTCAAGAACTGATCATCTTTAATGAGCTGATCATAGGAACCACTATTAGGAGCAGACTGGACTGAAATTGAACTATCTGATGAATTTTGTGATAACTTTTTTTTCTTAGGTTGGACAGTAGGTGGAGTAATTTATGGAGCCAACTTTACAACTGATTTATTTTAGGTAACTGAGGAAAATCACTTGACAATAATACAGTTGAAACATTTTAGATGAATAATTATTTTCATGTTTTTTAATCTGAGCTGTTTTTGAGGACAAAACCTGGATACTGCCAAGTGGTCTCCTCCACAGTTAACACATCTTTAAAAATTAGCTGAGCATTCCTTATAGGAATGACCACCTGAACACTTTGAACAAACCTGATTGTTTCTACATACTTTGGCACTGTGTCTAAATTTCATGCATTTAAAACATTGCATGAGAGGAGGAATATAAGTGAAAACTTTGTAACGCCAGTTGTCTAAATAAACATACTGAGGGAGAACAGTTCCTACAAAGGTAACGCTTATAGTAGTAAGAGGTTCCAGACCATCACAAGTTTTTTCATAAAACGTCTAACACCAACAATTTCAGAGTCAGCCATTAGTTTGTGGTAAAATCCGCGTTACTGCATTCTTTAGGGATAAAACGAATTTTACCCACTCGCTCCACCGAAGAGGCTGGTACAAAAGC